ACCAAACACATTGACATCAAGTATAACTTTGTAAGAGACATGGTAGCAAGTGGAGAGATAAATTTACAGTACATTCCTACGCAAAGCATGATAGCTGATCCTTTTACAAAGGCGATATCTAGAGACCTGTTTGAGAAACATGTTATGGCTCTAGGTTTGCGAAGGATATGAACATATTTATGTATTGTAATATGACTTTAGTATTATATTATGCTCATCAATATTTAACTCTTGAATTTGTGCTTATATCTCGTATGCATGTGATTAATATTTTGTTGATAAAGTGTGTCGAACAAGTCGCGAGATTGGCTCTCTCACACGAGCAATCGCCTCTTACGTTAAGAATCGTGAAGAGATGAGACCTTATAGAACCTTGGATAATGCGGGGTTGTATTTACTTGTAGAGATCGTTCTTGATAGCTTACGAATTTCACTATTCGATTATGACTTGTTTTGTGAGCCAGATACGAGTTTCTCAAAGCAGATGGTTTGAGGATTATTGAAGTGAGAAACTCGGGTTAGACACTTGAAGGTGTCTAGACCAAGATCTGTACGGTGTTGGATGATTAAAATAATAAGACACACTCGCCAATATAAGGTGAGAACACCGTAACATATGTTTCATACCACGTGTGCTATCGACCAATGGGATAATGGAAGAATGAATCCCTGCTTCTTCATTGTGTGAGATCCCAAAGAAGTTACATTAACTTTTATTGGAATACCCTTTGACCTTTTACTGTCTCTTGAAGTGCCAATCAGTGTTGCTACTTTAGCATGTTACTAATAGCCATGAGTGATTCGACAATGCAGTGCATGTCTAGGAAAGCAGTTGATTTGGAATGGAAAGATTCGAGTAGAAAGGGAAGACGACTAAAAATTAGTAATTTAACTTGTATTCATAGGTCGACCATTACACTTACCATGAGGGTATTGGGTGTAATTGTGGATACAATGTTATATGAGAACTCGAGTTTGCCTCTTTCGAGGATGAGGGATCGAATAAGTAGCTACTGCAATAGCGAAGATGTCTGGGGTATTGCGAGTAATAATATCCTCATGCTAGTCGTGAATCCTTTCCATATGTGATTGGATTTCTACATAGAGCTTTAGTACAACCTTTAATTGGTTTTGGAATTTTACAGCTCTTTGTGCTCGCAAGTCGCACCAACTATTTGCCAGTATGAAAAGTGTGTCAAAGACATCGGTCTAGCCCACTATGAGCGAAGTGGGAGATGTTGGATTATGGGTCATGAGTTGCTCCATGTGGGCTGACCCGACCCGGTTAGGAGAGATAAGGGAGAGAGATTAAAGGGAAGTTACCACTAGAGCACAAACACCCACTAAACTGAACGTGCAAAAAGGGTGAGTGGTGGGTTATCTTCCTTAACCGCTATTAGTCTCCCCATTTATCTGAAGGAGATAATACAGAACAAAGAACCGTAAGTTGTTTTCTCTAACTCAAGAATTTTCTCTGACTCTCTTCATCTCCCAACGAAGAACACACACAAGTAAGGGCATCTAATTGGTGGAAGATTAACATTGTTTCCTAGTGATTCAAAGTTCGATTTGGGGCAATTATTTCGGTGGTGAGTTCAACAATTCTTCCGCTGCGTTGACAGGTACGCTAATGTTGTTCTCGCCCCGCGATTATTAGTCTAACACAAAGTTTGCAAATTTAAATTTCCTTTGATGGTGCTTCGGTGCCTGAAAAGAAAATAAAAGATCGTGAACAAGAGCAAACAAACAAAGTGCAAAAGGAGCAGAAAAAGCAAGAAAGAGAAATTGGAAAATACATAGCTAGCGTTTTCGAGAGCTGCAAGTCTCCTCGTGGGGATCCTTTCCTTTCGATGTGTTTCGAGAGTCTAGCTCATGTCTATTTATAGATAGATGCTTAAAGGCAGTTGTCTCAAATTAGGTGTGCACGAGGTATAGGTTTCTCAAAGAGATAGAGTTTTATTTCTTGAAGGAATCAAGCTTATCACATATTCTTATTTTTTTGGACGGAGGGAATATGGGCTTAGAGGTAGGAAAGAAAAAAAATTCAAATAGCAAGAATATAATGTTAACTTTGGATAATAATTCATTTAGCATTATTAAAAAAAAAAAAGATTCTAACACTTTAAACAACGCTTTGAAGAGAGTGTATCACGAACAGATCTTAAGGAAATATTGGATGTGAATTTAAGGATTTTGTCATTCGCTGGTACTTCAAGCCTTGTCTTGACGGATTTAACAAGTTTACGTTCCAACAAATCTTGAAGTAGGGGGCATCTGTAGATATGTAAAAGTTATTGAGTTTAGCTCATATAAAATTTGGATTAAATTCTAAATTACTTCGGGTCGAATAATTAATTTGGACTTAACAAATTAATAAGTTCATTTTTAATTTCAAGCCCAAGGTCCATTTCATCTTAAGGCCCAGGCTCATGCCATGTGTCAAGTGACATGGCATGTCCAGTCAACTCAAAGCCAACAAGATGACGCCACGTGTTAAATGATGTGGCAATCCCAGTCCAAAGTAGTGACCAATCAAGAGTTGCCAAGTGTCTAAAATGACATGCCTTGGCCAATCACAAGCAAGCTTATCACTTAGCTTATATGATAAGTTTGATGACTCACATGAACCAATCAGAATCAAGCAAGAGAGTTCATATGTAGCTGGACTATCCATCCTCTACCATTATAAATAGAGGGGTTACATAACTCTCTAGAAAATATTCAGAGTTGGAGAAGAACACTCCGCAATTGGTGAAGGCATACACAAAAAGAGAGATCAATCATCAAGTGCTTAGTTCTTGAACAAATGAGTGATCAACGGAGTTCTTCCCGGAGATCAACCCGTAACAACAAAGTGCTGCTCGACGTTCTTGGATTAAATACATCACAAGGAGGTCTACATCATGCTACATTCGAAAAAGACGCTTCTCAAGCCCTCGAATCACGGAGAATTTTAGAGAGGAGAATCAAGGGATACATAGAATTGTACTCACAAATATTTATCAATAAAGTCACTTTTTCTTCATATTATTTTTGCAGTTTATTTTTCGTATTAGGAAAATTTATTGCGAACACTTCTCTTTTACGTTGTTTTTTGTCACTTTAAAGGCCATGAAGAACCGAGAACTTAAAATCGAAAAATCAAATTTGTTGGGTTTATTGTTGGTTCGAATCCGGTATGCTTGAGCAATATCTACTAAAATTCATTTGTTAATATTGGTTGAAGGTTGAAAACGTGAAGAATCCAGCAAACACCATTATCGATTAATGGAGCTACGAAATTTTAAACTTAAATCTAAGATTTTGGAGTCTATTTCGAGTGGGTGTTGCTGAATTTTGTTGGGTCCAATTTTAGGAGTCTATATCTAAAAATTGGGCTATTTGGTGAAGGATTTTGGTGGTTCCGAGTTGATTTTTTTTGGGGAAATCTGTAGTTGCACTATCTGTGAGGAAGAATAAGGGGTGAGGAAGGAGAAAGAAGATGGGGTCGTCTCCTTTTTTTTTTTTTTTTGTTATTTACGCTCCAATATTTTTTATTATTTTTATTTTTTTGCCACATCAACTATTAGGGGGAGAATAATTCTTTTGAAATGTGTTTAGGGGAGTAAAGAAATGACAGTTTTAATTTAAGTGTTCAAATTAGTTTTCGAGACAAGTTCAAGGGGATTTTATGTATTTTCCCTTATTTAAAGTTTGGAGTTGTCTAATTTTTACTGCAAGGAAAAGGTAATTTTTAGATGAAAAGAAAATGCCAAAGGCAAAATAAAGCATATTATGTACTACCTCTAAATATTATATTATAGACAAGATAAGTATGAAGTTGTCAACGTTGGGGTACCATCATCAGCTGCGTAAATCTAATTACAATAAAGCAATCCAGCTATCAATAATCAGAGTGGCGCAGCGGAAGCGTGGTGGGCCCATAACCCACAGGTCCCAGGATCGAAACCTGGCTCTGATATGTAGTAATACAGTTGAGCTTCCTATCCACTACTTTTTTTGTCCCTCACCTTTTTCATTTTTCATTTTGTTCTTTTGTTCCATTAATATCAAACAATAAATTCTGGAGGAAAACTTTTCCCCTAGAGATTCAAAACTAAACAAAAGAGTTTTTGGTATATTTGTTTTGTTCTTTAAATAACTTAATGAAGATAGAGATCTTAAGTATTTGTTAGATAGGAAGAGATATGCACTTGTTTTTTCTTTAAAGAGGGGTTGGTTGGTGGGATGTAATGGAAGAGCACTCACACATTTGGAATGATAGACCCTTGGGTGACAAAGACCTAGAAATATCAAAAGTGAGAATGCTAACATGAGTAACAAAATATTATGTGCAAAACACGATCGCTTGCCCATGGAAGGTTTTCTTCATTCAAAATCCGCCCGAATTAGATATTTTAAGAAACGTATCAAGAGAGAATTGGATTTGGTTAGACAATGTATAATTGGTAAACAAGGATCAATTTTTTTTTGCAAGGTACAGAATGTATAATCAAATATTCAATATGGTCCCACAAGATCTTGTTTCGTTCAAGTAACGGGTTAAAGAGGATTCTAGTGAAGGATTCATTAATAGTTCAGTAATAAAAACAAGAAACCACCAAATATCAATCCAAAATCAAATTTCTTTGAAGATTCATCAATAGCAAATAACAGCCGACGTTAACAACAAAATTTGCCAACTTTGATTCCTGGGCCAAAGCTGAAATATGTTCAGCTCAGTAGCTAAATACAGTTTTTATCCCAAAAGAAAGGGGGGGGGGGGGGGGTTTGGGCATAGGCGAAGCTACAATATGGTAAGGGTGGACAATTAACCACCCTTCGTCGGAAAATTACACTATGTATATAAGTAAAATATTAGGTTTTAGAAGTGTATAACATATATTGAACACCCTTTGTTAGGGATTTTTTTTATTTCTTTCAAGTTTGAACACCCTAGGTAAAATTCCTAACTTCGCCACCCGGGGGAGGGGGAGGATTAAACGAATAAAACCAAAATATCATCACCAATTCTTGGTTGAAAATTGAAATGAAGTTAACTGAATGCACAAGTAGTTAGAAGCTGGCACGGAAGTTGAGCATCTTTATTGTTTTTTACTACAAACACATGAATAGAGCGATTGCCAGTGCCATCCAATCTTCCATCACCCTAGTTTCCACTTCATTAGATGGAGAACATACAGTAAAGAAGTTACATGAAAGAACTAGGAATTAGGCATAAACAAAATGAGCAATACAAGAATCAGAACAGCATCCGAGCCCGTAGTGACCTCTCTTCAACCTCAGGCTCAGGGCCATCACCTTGCCTCCTACCAAGCTAATTTAGAATAAATGTAATGGCTTAGGCTTCTCTGTTGCTCAAACGATGGCAACGAAAAATTGCCCAGCTGAAATATGGAGCAAAGGCACAATCGGATCCCTCATCTAGCAAAAAATCGACTACTTCAGTAACCTAGAAATAGGCTGTCATGATATCAAATATCTCTAATAAGCCTTGGCAACCTGCAGATGTGCCTTCAGCTAGCAGTTACGCCAGACAAAAGCTTGGTTCATTGGCCACAAAACCCAAAAAGAAAAAGAAAGGGAGCAATAAGCTCATAACCAGCATGTGTTCTGTGGTAGAAGTTGCGGAATATAATGTCCACTAGCAATTTCTGGATTCACTTATAGGAATCTAAAGACTGCATACCTAGGCTGGGTTCTCAGAAAGCTTTGAGAAACCAAGCTTCTTCAGGCGACTCTTCATAGGGGTTGCCCATGTTTTTTCTGCACTACCACATTTTATGTCCACAATTTCCACCAAGGTCGGTCCCTTTCTGTCAGTTTTCTGTCTAATAGGAGTTCCATCTACTGAAGAATTGTCTGCTGCTAGTATTGGCCTTTGAGGAGTTTTACAATTATAGTGCTTTGCCTTCTTGACTATCTCTGGGCTATTTTTATTATCTTCAGATGCCCAACTGCTGCTAGCTTCATCAATTGATGTTCTTGGCTTCATTCTTTTAGGACTGGTCGCATCACCAGCAGCGAATGAACAAACAGAAGGAGACCTATACCTATGTGATACAGGTGTTGGAGAAGCAGATGTTTTTGAATCTAATTCTCTTGACATGAGGGCACTGATCGTACCAGTTGTTCCCACTTTAATAGAACCTCCACCACCCCTCATGGACTTTAATGTCTGAACCATAACTCTTTCCGGATATTCTGAGATTGCTCTAGACGATACTTGGATATACCCAACTGCGACAGGATAAGCTCATAAAAAGCCTGTCTATCTCTTCATAACATCATGGTTGTGATGAATTTCTGTATCTAAATACAAGAGTAAAGACGATTAAGGAAAAGCATAGCAAAAGAGCTACAAGCAGAATGAGAGAATATATTTTCTCTAGAAAAATTCCAATATCCTAAATTTATCAGGAACAAACACGTAAAAACAGAAAGTTCAATATCATAAACAAAGAAGCTAGAAGTAATGACTATAAGTCATCCCAAGAAAAGCAAGATAATTTAAGAAACCGCGAAATAACCAAACATAAAGCTCACTGCTTGCATATTCCGGTAAATAAATACTCTGTCAGGTTATAACAAGATCAAAAGTCAAAGGAGTCATAACAAATTGTTTGTAAAGGGGTATACAGCTGCGAGAAAACTGTACACGGCTAACTAGTTATACTGATGCTTAGATTGGAAATGGAATTATCTCAGAAGTACAGCCTAGATATGTCTAAGAGATGAAACATCCAACATGTAACCTAATCAAATTCAAACCCAATATCACAGAGAGAAAACAGATAACTATAGTACAATAGAAGCTCTAGTGGTTAAAGTTACCCGATACCTGTGATGGTGGGAGGTGGCAAGTGTCAAGTGGAATAGTCGGGGTGCATGCAAGCTAGCCTCAACACTATCATTATCATTAATATAAAAATAGAAGCCAAAAAACAGAAGCCTAATTATCTAAGCTACATTTTTTCTCCTAACAAACCATTTTTTTTACTGGAAATGACTCTAGATGGACTTTTTTTTAACCGTGTCAGAATTTTAAAGCACGATGGCCAGAATTTTGAAGCACTAGAATTTTCAGCCACAATACGAAAAATTCTGGTGATCAGTCAGAATTTTGTGGCTAATTGCACAAAAAATATGGCAACCGTAAGAATTTTGTGACGGTCACCATAACTTGCAAATTATGGCAATAATCTGACAAATCATCATAAGACTTCCCTAAAAAATTCTTACCAGCGTGCTTCAAAATTATGACCGGAGATACTTTTCTTACCGGAATCAAAATTTAAACGGTGGCACCAAATGATCCGATTTGTGTCATTCTCCCATTTTTTTTTTTTACGACTGTGGTATCTAGGCCAGCTGCACACTTAACAAATTCTCAAGAAGGTAAAGAAACATTAAAATTGGGAGGTTTCTATCCTTAATGGACTCTTAAGTGTAGGAATTGGGTTACATTACGTCCTTAAACATGTTTCAATCTGTGAATCAACTTGAAATGAGACTCATATAAATCCTAAAAGGGGAAAGATTGAAACTTTGGGAAGTCAATGGAACAGATAGATCTAAATTCTAAGCTGAGTGAGGACAGTATTCTTGATTGAATAACATGAAATCTATAAAGCAGAATACAACGATAAAGATTTCAATTAGAAGGTTCAAAAATAAGCTAATGATTAGAAATTTACCTAAAAAAGAGCGGCAATTGGAATTCTGAAAAAAAGTGTAAGTTATTGTACCAAATCAAGATGTGCAAATCCCCTTTTGTCAAGGGCGAGATTTGACTGCAGAAATTCGATATATTTGTGTCATTGGGTATCTTGTGCCAAAAATGAAATTTATACTCACTTTTACTTGGCATATATACTAAAAATAAATTTCATTTTCACTTATCTACGCATATTAAGAAAATGATAATTTTTTTTTTCCTGTTATACCCACAATATTTATTATTAATTTCAAATTATTTTTTCAAATTGAATAAAATATACATCAATTAATATGAATATCATGATAAATTATACACCTACTGACACCCAATCGGGTTGCCTTCCCAGGTCTCGCTGGTGTTGCCTATAGGTTTGCCTGTAGGTCATGATGTGTAGTATATAAAAAAATTTAGAATAGTTGTTGAAAATAAAGAGAGAAAGTGGAAATTGACGCTAAAGAGGTACTTAGCCTACTAAAGAATAATAATATACTGCATGCTAATCTACTAAATGGTTGCAGGCACTTACTGAGACAGCTACACGATCCTCCAGTAAGCCATGCGTACAGAGAGCAAAATAAATTAGCAGATAGACTAGCAGATGCAGGAAGCTTTTTGACTGAAGGCTCTACTATGCAGATTTTTGCTGAACCACCACTTTTTGTTAGTAAGATATGGAATGAGGACAAGCTTGGAGTAACTATGACACGCTTGCTGCCATAGTGTAGATATAACTTGGAAGGGCAACCTGCTAGTAGTAGGAATGGTTTACCTTTTGTAGTGCAAACTGAGCACGACAAACTCTGTACGCATATGCTTGTTTAAATATAATATCTATCCTTATTACAAAAAAAAATAATAAAAATAAAGAGAGCATCCTATTAAAGGTTAACCCGTGAATCGTTTAATAATTAAGATAGAATGACGTCAAATATTTGGAATGACATAAAAATGAAAAAAGATATTACTACATAAATTGGAAATCCTTTTATTTAGTTCAAATTTATTATTTTCGTCCAACTCATACGACACAAAAGTTTTAGAATACTGTTATACAAAATTCATCTAATAAATACAAATATTTAAAAAGTCGGATTATTTTGTCTTTAAATAAGGAGCTAATCTATTCCTATACTATAAGTGAGGATCAGGCATGTGATGGTCAACATGTCTGCTTCACCATAGGGGTATTTTTGTCATTTCATGTGTTGTTTGACACGTTCACCCTATCTCCGCTTCTCAATTTTATCAGGTTACATGAAGCTGCTTTAATTAATAGTTTCTCATCTATTCAGTTTGTGTATCTATCTATATATACTCATGGGTTTTGAAAGTTTCCACCTACTTTTTGCGCTTTAATTCTTCTTTCTGGAAGGTCATTCAAATAAAATTGGCAAGTAACGAGCAGATCATTTTTGTACAGAGTCCTGTTCATAGAGTTTACATTTCCCTCTGTTTCTACATGTTGTGTATCTACCTTGTCAAGGTAATGCCATCCCCACCATAACCAAAGTGATGATGAACGCTTCTATTGCTTTTACAAATGGCCACTTTCCAATATTATCAGATTAAATGGAAAAAATGCAAGTGATTCCGGGGTGATAAAATGTGAAATGAAGCTTAAATTGATGTTCTTAGAAGCTACATGTAGGTGATGCTGACTTAGTATATATTTATATACGTTATGAATTCTCAAATATGTATATAGTTCCAGCTGAATGCAGTGGTTGGACCTGCACCCTCTTCCAACCATCTAGATCCCTGCCTGTCAATGACTCAATGCTGATTTATTGTCATCTATTGCTAACTTTCCTTCGATTACCCTCCTAATTTAAATCAAGACACAGACTCTAGTTTGCTTTGATGGCTGATTAATTATTAGAAGTAGCTTTGAATAGTGTTCATACATTTGGAATTTGTAGACAAACCGTCTTAAGATATGTGATTTTAAAGAAAATTTTAGAGCAAAGGCAGAGAAGAGATATATTAGATCATGCCTGAAGGATTTGGAAAGAGTAACCATTCAATAACATCCGATAGATTGAGGAGAAAGGGTTAGCGTTTAATAAATTCTCAACGTTATAAGAAGAATCATATAACAATTTCCTTTTTTGCTAATCATAAAATTTCTGTTCTGAGGTGTACTGAATTTAGATGCTTAATTTCTGGAATGAATGTTTGTAATGACACTGTCTTATTTCAGGCTTTGTATCATGCATGCTCTTCTGATGAACTATGTAACTATTAGAAAACTTCAAAGTAAACTAGAAAGAGAAACAAATCAAACGACTGTGAAGAAGCTAATAGATAAAATGACACAAGATGGCTTTGTTGACACTAACAACAACACCTTACATTCTTTTATGTACACCTTCTATTAAATCTATGGAAGGATGTTCCATGTAAAATTTACATGCTTCCAACAATTTTATATTTTAGCGGTGCAGCTAAACAACCTGATACAGCAGTATCATGTTGAAGATAGGCATTAAAAGGAAGGGAAAATGTTGGACACAATTGGATTGAAACAGGCATATTGAAGGATAGTACATATAAGCTTACAGAGCTTAGAAAATAAGAATCTTCTTGCCACATTAACACAAAAATAATATACTATTATCCAAATGTGCTACACATTTTTTGGGAATTTTTTTTTAATGCTTTAGTACCTAAAATAAAGCAATTGGTGCAAATTGCTACTTATGATTCATACTTAATACTGTTTGTTGATTCTTCTGGTAGAGCTTAATGTTTGCACATTCTGCACCATCTTAATGTCCTTTAGAACTAGATTACCCTTAGTTAAATTTAAGATTTAGAGGGTTAATTGATGCTCATTGGATTCGATTTTTCTATGTAGTTTAACCCTGAACAAAAATCCTTATATCTGGTGAATGTTTTGTCAGCCTTGAATAACATCTATAGTTTAAGAGAAATTTTAATGATAGGGAATAGGGAAATCCAAGATATCAGTAATCTTTCACACTTTTGCTGTCACTTTGAACTTAGTGTAAATCCAACCCATGCATTATGGTCTTGGCATTGTCATTAGGACATTTACCATGAAAAACTCATGGTAATCAAATATACATTGTACGACAACCTCAATCTTGACTGTACAACAACCTCAAAGGTGATTGTGGACAAATAAATCTTTAATAGAATTATTCAACAAAGTGAAAAAGTAATCGATTTTATAGACCAATAACTCTGATTATGATATAGGTGTCCAAAATTGCTATAATCTTCTCCAAAAGCTAGATAGTAACTGGGACAACAAGTGACTTAGAAGATGAAACGGAGGACAAAAACAACATAGCAAAATGCCCTGCTTTGTGTGAAATGATGTCGAGGCAACATGTCTTGACCAAGATAATTGGCAGAGAAGAGGACTTTCTATTTGTACCAGCTGTTAGCTGTGTGAAAACCGACAAAGAATCCATCAGCCATTTAAACTTTTTTGATGTTGACTGCGTTATGCCACACAATATTAAATGCTTACTTTCAGATCGGCAAGCACAAAGAATTGATAAAGGATTCTTCTATTGTAAAATAAAAATGTATATAAAAGTTATGTTTGTAGAACACGCAAACCTACCAAAAGCTATTGAAACGCTCAACAAAAGAAGAGTATATTTAATATCCTTTATTAAATTACCACATATATCAACTGGTACATGACGTTATATGTGCATTTCAAATGTCAGCTTGGTTGAAAATATTTATTGTACTCCACAAATATAGTATATCTACTATAAAGGAGGTGATATGTGTATTGTAAGGTTTGTCGTTCTTGCAATGAAAGCAACATTTCCTTGGACAATTTAGGCTCTTACAGATTTGATAAAGTAGGAAAAAAATTAATTTCCACAACTATATATTGGATTCTATTGGAAACAATTGCGCTATTGGGCCGTGCTTAGCACGGGCGATTCCCCACCAGTAAGGAAAGAAAGGAGACGGAATCGCATTAGCTGTGCCTTTTTTGTCTGTTTTCTTGCTTCTTTAATGAATAATCTTCTTCAATATCTTTGACCTAATAATAGACGTGTTGATTTGTTTGGCTTGCAAAAAAGAAGGATAAAAAGGTACTAATCATGCCGAATTTATATATTTATTTATTTATGTGATTAAGTTTGATTGCTGCTACTTACACATTTGGTTTCTTCAAGTTCAACGGCCAAATAGGTAGAATTTTGAAGCATAAGAGAGAGAGATGATAAATAGTAGCCTTTTATATTCTCATACAAAAACAATCTGAAGAAGGGCAATGGTACAAAAGAGAATAAGATGTTGAAAAAACTCTAGTCCAAGAAATATACACCTACGTAGAGCAAAAGGCTGGGAAGACATCATCAAAAGGGTAAAATGCACTTTTACAAACATTCTGATCTCAAAATCAAGGGCTACATACAACTTTACTCAAATAGAAAAAGAAAAAGAAAAGTTAGTATTTACATATTAAGGTTTTCTACATGCTATCCAAGGCCTGTTGAAAAAATGGATTAACAGCACTAGGTTCTGGCAGCTGTGGATCATCTGTTCGCTGACGCGCTGGACTTACCTCATGATTGGGACCATGAAATCGAGTTAGATTAATCTCTATACATTTCAGAGGGGCAAAACAAATGCAGGGAATGGAGCCGAGTTGGATAAAAGTCCATGTATATGTCAGATGAAATCCATCTTCTACTTGGCAGAATACCAGTTTTTGGCACATTTAGAATCAACAGATAGGTCAACTCTGAGAATATTCTTTCCACCAAAAGGCTTGGACATGCAGTCAACCACTATTGCCATGGCTTCTTTTTCAGACTCTTCCGGCCCTTCCAAAATAACTTCATCATGAACCTGTTCGAAAACAAACAATAACGTACAAATTGTTAGCTAATGACAAACAACGCAAACAATTAACTGGGACTGCAAAAAAAAAATTAAGACACATACATAAATAATTCTAAGCTATGCCAAACATAAAAATACAAATGCCCTTTCTATTACAGGAAAATGAATCTCTCTCCTAGTAACCGTTTATATCTTCCAACATTCCTGAAAATTTTAGTTATAATCTTTTTGTCTGCAGTTACGCACAACAATTGGCAAAACCTTTACCCCAGTTAAGGAATA